ATAGAATTTGATGTCTCGCCACCATCCGTCCCTCCATGCGATTATTCAGAAACTAACTAGCCAGCTTAATAACTCACGCTCAGTCGGGACTGACAGTTTGAAATCCCCTACTAACCACTTAGGGGGTTTTCTTCCTGTACCGAGCAAACTCTTCCCCGCGAACGGTCTTTCCTCCATCCATTGAAAAAACTTCCATGGCCATTCCGGTATTTACATCTGGCCTTCTCCCCAATGTTCCAATCTACTGGAGGCTCACAAGACGCCTTCTCTGGCCAAACGGCTTGAAAGAAAATTGCGCTCACAATTACGATGCATACCACGACTCCCGATGTCAGCCTAGATTGTTTCGCCTGCGTCCTCCAAAGCAAGAGACCAGGACCTCGTAGCCCGCAACGTTCAGTCGATACCAATTAAGCACTCGACGAAGTCGACCGCTCTCTCCTTCCTTTTAGGCTAACGTCATTGGGTGGTTCTGGCAAAGTCTTAGTGGTTTCCTGCCTATCTACCTGACCGTCACCAACCCTTTTAAAGTCCCTCCGACATTTTCGCCCCAGGCTCCATCGTAAACAATGTTTTGACCGGAAGTATCCTAGGCCCGTGCCTTTTTCGCTTTAGCTCAATGATCTTGCGGTTTCATTTAACTCAATCAGGGCTCTCTTGTTTGTTGATTGCCTGGGATGACTTATTACTATAAAACCTATAACGGACATTTAGTTGAAGGAGGAATTGGAGCTGAACCGCCCGTGCAGAAGTGCGAGAACTAGTAGTTAGAGGAATTTAGCCCCACTACTCTTTCAGATTACATCTGAACGTGGTGGTAACGGAGAACCAAAAACCAACGCAGATGCGGCTTACGGCACGCGAGCCACAGACACGGGCACATCTCAGAATCCACTTTATTGCCATTTTGTTCGTATCCTTTCAGAAGACCTCAAAACTTTCGGGATCAAATCCATCGTGTGTATAGAAAGGCGAGGGTGAGAGACCAGGTGAGAGCATGAAAAAGAAAACCAAAATTACTCACAAAAGTGAAAGCCAAAAAGGCGTTGGAAGAAAATGTTAGCAAGTAGTGCACGCGCGCAGGGAAGCAGGCCAGAAGGGGGGATAAAGGAGGGACGGGAGGGCGAGCGGATAGGTACGAGCAGCGCGCGCGGGACGACTTCCACGGAGCGATGGGTGGTGGGAGGTCATCACCTTACGCCTCCTCCGGATCCTCAAAGTCATCCTCGTCGCCCCACTCTAGGTCAGCAGCGACAGACTTTGGTGGAGCGCCCGTGTGCGTCGCACCACTCGACGGTGCGACATTCAGTGAGGCCAGCTGTCGCTCCAACTCTAAGCCAAAGTCCTCCTCCTCTTCCTCCTCCGCGGTCTTCTGCAGATGCTGCACTCCCGGGCTCTGCTTTCCCTGTTGCGGGTGGTGCTCGTAGTGAGACAGAGGAGATTCAGCGGCCGCTTGTGTAACTGGTGGGGCCTTAAAGTCAAACAAATCAGTGTCGAATGTCTGCGGAGCTTGCGGTTTGAGGGAGGCCGGCGACAGCGAAGGCTCTGCCGTCAATGTTGCTGGCGGCCCAGCCGTCATTTCGAATGGATCAAATGCTGATTCGTTGTCCGCCGGAAAGGTCGCGCCGGGAAACGCCTCAAACACCTTGGTCGGTGCTTCTGTCGTGGCAGTGACAGTAGTCTCACTGTTAAGTGCGGAAAGGCTAAGGAGATCAGCTATAGGATCACGTGTTGGCTGCTCTTGATGAGTCTTTGCGGGATGCGGTGCAATGACGGGTTGATGTAATGGCTCATGGTCAGATTGTGACTTTACTTGTACATCATCAGGTTGTACCGGTGCTGGTGCCGGAGGTTGGAATACTGGCTTGTGTTCCACATGCACAGCAGGGGCTGACGGGAAGGGGGACTTCTGCATCTCCTCGGCGGGTCGGCGATCCCATAGTGCTGGTTGTGAGGGATAAGCGGAGGCGGGCAGGTGCCGCTGCCTCTCTCGATCAGCCTGCAGCCACTTTTCTGTGTGCAGAGCCGCCTAAAAAGTGTGCGTAGGAGGAATTTGCCGCTGTAAGGGGTTTGAAGTGGACAGGCGTTCTGCGAACAATACGAACATGAATGATGCTTACCTCCCATCCAGGGAAGAGGTTGGGGTACTGCTGAGGATTGGCTAACGCCTCAGCAGCCTTGTTCAGTTTCGGATCTTCTGAAAGCCATTTGCGCCAGAGTTCCACCATTTCTGGCACCTTACTGGGCAGATAGGTGCGTGCGAAGATAGCGGCCTCGGGGTAGCGCTGTGCCTTGACGAGAAGCTAAGTGGACAGACAAAAAAGCCAATAAGCAACTACTAAAATAATCAAAAGTAGACAGGTTTGCTGACAGCAAACTGGCACCCACCTGAAGACAACCCTCGAGATTGTTGAGTAGGAATAAAGAAAGGAAGGCCAGATTATCCATCTCCTCCTTTGCGGTCACTCTAGAAAGCTCCTCCAGTTGTTCTGCATCACCGGCACTGGTGGCGATTAGGAGGAAGCTGGCGTAGTCTCGCGTCTTGGAAAAACACTCCTGGGCTAGTTTGAAGTCACACTCCTTGACAGCCAGATCAGCCAGCTGGAAGTAAAACGACGAGGGGAGACATATGATACACAAAGAGGCGTGGAAGATACAGTACACAGTCTAACCAGCGGTAACAGAGGCAGCAACAAATAAAAACGGCCATCCGACAATGCATGTTTCTGTTTGGGAGAAAGCCACCAAGCAGAATAGGATGTGGGAGGTGAATACTTGGAAGAGACCCAACCCGGAGTCTGAAAAGCACATGCGTTCGTGTCAAGCGAGTCACTAATCACTGCCGCCAAAGTGTCAGCATCATCGTCTTGCACGCCGAGTCTGAAACTGGACCCAGAATGTCAGTTAGACAGGTATTTATCCAGCTGCCGGTCGGACTTCGCAGAGTTAGGTACCTGGCGACGTTCTCAGAGA